GTGGTTCTTATTTTGATAGGCATGAGGATGATGTGTGGCATCTATATGAGAGCATGAGGGAGAATTCAATGCATAGATCATTGTCCTTTAAAAATGGTAGAAATTTAGGTGGAAGAAAAAATGTCGGTTTATATCAAGTTGACAATTCCAATGACATAGTCCCTGAGGTAAAATCTTTATCTCAAAGGTTTGATTAAGTTTTAATTAACCAAAATTCGGCAAATCAAGTGCCTTCCTCCCCTAATCATGTTCATCATTCATCTAATGAATCTTGCATGACTTATTCGAGTGTCTTACATTCTACTTCCAATTGTCCCCATGGACATGTGCAAAGTGAGAACCATGAACAAGTGAATGCCGCATTCGTCAACCAAGGGAATAATCCCTATGGCACACATTATAATCCCGGGTGGAGGAACCATCCAAACTTCTCTTAGAAAAGCCAAGGGGAAGGCTCAAACCCTCCCCAAGGTAGTTTTCAAGGCAAGTATGTTCCGCCCCCAATGCAAAGCTAAAGTTCTCAAGGTTATAGATTATCTTTTCAATCACATGGAAATCAATTCTCAAACTCTCATTTTCCTAATCAATCATCTTATTCTCATGGAAATTCTAGGAGTCCCGCTTTTGAGGAAAAAGTGTTGACCACTTTGGGTACTCTAGAGGCAAACACTCAATTGCTTCACTCTCATTCCCAATCTATTGTGAAGCTAGAAACCCAAGTTAGGCAAATAACTAGTACTTTGAATGCTAGAGAGAAAGGGAAGATGCCTCTAAATACCCCACCAAAGTAACAATTTGTTGTGGAGACTAACTCCTCATCGGAAGGTCACACAATTGAATATGTTAATGCGGTGACAACCTTGAGAAGTGAAAAAAGTGTTGACAATCAAGTAGGTGTTTCGAATGAAGAGAGTGAATCGGTGCAACCAAAGGTTGACACCCGTCCCGTTTCACATTCTATTCCTCCTTCATTGCATGTGCATGAACCCTTTGTTGAAAAAGTGTTGAAAAATGATTTGAACAATTCTTGTGTTGAAGATGTTGTGAAAAAAGACTTTTAAAAGGTTTTTGAGCCAAAGGCTCCATTTCCAAATACCTTGAAAGGATCCAATTCTCTTGAAAAACAACAAGGCAAAGCCAACAAAATAATTGAAATGTTTATGCAAGTGAAAATTAACCTTCCTCTCTTGGATGCAATTAAAAAAATTCCAGCTTATACCAAATTTTTGAAAGATCTTTGCACTCAAAAGAGGAAGAACAAAGAGCCAAGCACCAAAGAAAGTTATTTTGACCGAGCAAGTAAGTTCTGTTTTGCAACATAATACACTTCCAAAGTTCAAGGACCCCGGTTCACCTATTACTTCTTGTGTCATTGGTGACCATGTCATTAATCGGGCTCTTCTTGATTTAGAAGCAAGTGTGAACCTCCTTCTGTACTCGGTATATGTTAAATTGGGCTTAGGAGATTTAAAACCAACGTCAGTAGTTTTGCAACTAGCCGACCGATCCATCAAAAAGCCCCGGGGTATTATTAAGGATGTGTTAATCAAAATTGACAAGTTCTTCTTCCCAGTCGATTTCATAGTCATAGACACGGAACCGGTCACAAATCCCAAAAGCCAAATTTCGGTTATCCTTGGCCGTCCTTTCTTGGCAACCACAAATAACAACATCAATTGTAGGACCAGGATAATGAAAATCTCATTTGGCCATATGAAAATGAAGTTGAACATATTTAATCCAACCCCGAGTTCAATAGACAAGCATGAAGAGGTTTGTATTGTTGAAAAATGTCTTAACAATGAATTTGAAAAAGTTGAGTCTTTGTATGAAAGTAAAATTTCCAAAAGTTCATCTTCCAAAATGATTTCAAAGAATGTTGTTTTGAAAACAAATGTTGAAAGGGCATGGAAGCCCAAGAATTACTTTGATCAAGGACTGTCAATCTCTTTTGAGTCAAATCCAACGAGTTCTTTAGGGAACAATTTGTTGGGTGGGATTTAAATGCTTTTCACCCCGCAAAGGAGGGGATGCACAACAAGATTTTTGATCTTAGCTAAAAGAGCCCAATGTTTTGCTAGAGACGTTAAACACTAGTGGTGCAATCGACCCTAGGTGTGCACAAAATAATGCACAACACCTTGAGTTTGGAAATTAGTGTCAAGTGGGCATCATAGTTTAATTTATAAACCGTTTAACACCTATACTATGTAGTATGAGTGAGAAGGGATCGTCCCAAGGGATTATGGGGATTGAGCAATGTCGAGGAATCACAATTAGGGCTACTAGGTTGAGTGATCAAACAATTGGTTGGTTGGTTGATTAAAGAGCAACTAAATTAAACTAAGTAATAGCAAAAGAGTGCAATTAAGAGTAAGTAAGAGAGAAAGAGAGAGAGAGATCTTGGGGTTTAGAGATCACCACCAAGCAATGCATTTCTATATCATTGACAAGTGATTAATAAGGGCAAATAGTGGGTTGCAATATTGGTGTGTGTGTATTTGGTTGATTCAACAAGCAAGGATGACTAGTTAAGCATGTATTGTCTAAACATCAAGTGAAAGGCACAATATATCTAAGCAATGAAGCATATATTGTCTAAACAACATGTGAAAGGCACAATAAATCAAAACAAGTCATTAATCTTTTCACTAAGCTCACAATCCAAATACAACCCAAGGATAGAGACATATGCTAATTGCATTCAAAAGTTTGGATCATCAAACAACAAACATAGATTGTCCTCCCATTTAACACTCCACTACAACTACATTATATCTACACTACTAGCATGAAAATAAACTAAGGGAGAGGCACAATCCATCAAGAGGTAAGCATGAACCATCAAGAGAATCACAAAAGCATTCTTTTAAGTATAATGTTTTGACAATCTCCAAATCTATAGCATCAATACACATAGACATGCATCAATAACACAAAATCTAGAGATAAGCACATGAACATCTATTTTAGCATACATAGACATATGGATAGAATGAAATGATTGATTGGAAGCATTAAACCACATAAATCATTGAATAAACAAGATCTATATGTGTAAAAGTGTCAAAACATTAATTACAACACTAATCCCTCAATAATACACAAGATTAAGATATAGAAAGCATGCTTGGGGCTAACTCTAGCCCCAAGAGGATGTCTAGCCACTCATGGTGATGATGCTCCAACCCTCAAGGGCTAATTCCATGGTTGAAATCTGCTCCTTGTTGATGAAGAGTCTCCAATGGTGTCTCTAGCCTCCTCTCTAAGCTTCCTCTCCAAAAGATGATATGAAAATTAAATTCTTCTTTTTTTGAAAAAACAATCCTTATCCTTATATAGGTAGGTCAAAATGACACCCAAAATGAGCTGGGGTCGTGCACATAATATTCCCTAATGATTGGATAAATGACAACTTTCAATGAGAAGGAATTTTAACTTTTTCGCACTGGAGGAAGTTCGATCGATCGAACCTCGAACTTGGATCGATCGAAGGTAAGTAAGATCGATCGAACTTAGGCTGGATCAATCCAACTGGCTGAGCTTTTTGGAAAAAGACAAATCCGAGATATTTATGGGGAAATGACAAAAGTGGTTAGTGGGTGGTACAGCTGTGGATAGGATCAATCATTTGAATAAGGACAAAAGTGGTCGATTGATCGAAGGATGGTATTGGATCGATCGAACTTTTAGAACTTTATACTTTTGGGTCAAGGCTTGGATCTATCTTGAAGTGCTGAGATCAATCATTGTTCGATCGATCGAACCTTGAACTTGGATCGATCGAACTTTGCTACTTGCCACATTTGGCTTCATTTACTTCCTTCTTTCTCCACTTTGCTCCTTTCTTTGATTAATCCCAGAATTGCTTCAATTAAGCTCTTATTTGGCTGAGTTAGCTTATTTTTGGGATAAGTACCTGAAAAAGGAAATAATACGAAATCAATCTAAAACGGCAAAGTAAGATAGATAAAGGTACTAGAATGCCTAAGCTTAAGGGGTTTAAATACGCACTTTTCAGTGCTCATCAACTAGTACTTCATAGGGTTTGCAACCCTATTCCTCCTTTATTTCTATTTTACCTTTCATTTCTTGCGTCGTCTAGATATATTCTGGGTTCATACACATTGTTAGGGACTTTGATTGAGAATGCATGCATTATCATTTTTGAATTAAACACTTAATGCTTATTTGATCGATCTCAAAAGGAGGTTCGATCGATCGAACATCATCTCTACATCCAATCATCTCCCTTCCCATCGTGCGAAACTTTCTTGCATATTTTAGCTCTCTTTGTATTGTACGAACTCTATTTCTGATCAATCCAAAAATTCTAAGATCGATCCAGTTTTCCCTTGGATCGATCTTCATCCTACACTTAGAAAATTTTTTGAACCCATGAAAAATCACCTCTCTGTGTATTGTTCGAATATGTCTGCAGGTTTTCACCTGTTGGATCGATCGAGTCGATCTATGTTCGATCGATCTGGGTGCTTCCACTACAACAGTTTTGGCTTTTACCAGCGCTCAAAAACGCTGGTAAAAGCCTTAAAAAGCGCTGGTAATTGAATTACCAGCGCTTCTTTAAAAGTGCTGGTAAAACCAGTGTCGGTAAGGCTTTACCAACGCTTTGGAGAAGCGCTGGTAAGTGGCTTTTACCAGCACTTTTGGAGAAACGCTGGTAAAGCGTATTTACCAGCGCTTTTGGAGAAGCGCTGGTAAAGCATATTTGCCAGTGCTTTTTCAAAAAGCGCTGGTAAAGGGCCATTTTAGTATTTTTTTTTCCCCCCCGTGCCAGCGCTTCAAAGAGCGCTGGTAAAGGGTTATTTAATTTTTTTTTTCCCCTTATTGTTTTTGGAAAAAAAAATCTTTACGGGTACTAATGTCATCCCAATAACACAAGTCTATAAAAATACCACCCAAATTGTTTTTATATAGTACAACCACAAGTTAAACCTACTGCCAATATGAAAAATACTATCGAAATTGGCTAGTAAATGTCAACCAAAAAGCAAAAATATTATACAACCACAAGTTAACCGGCCAATATAAAGATACAATCCAAATTGTCTAGATAAAGCTACTAAATGTCACACAAAAAGAATTAAGAATTTTTGACAAATGTTGTACAAGTTTTTCAAAAAGAACCCATCCACGGCGAAAGAAATTCAGAAATCACATCCACTCCCCCATCTTCAGCTTCAACTTCAACTTCAACAAGTCTTCTTGCCCATTTGATTTGAATTACCCTACATTTTTTATAAATTCATTAAGCGCACATTATAATAAATGGAAACCTAACATATAAGAGAAATTAAAAAAGTTCATAACCTTAACTGAATTGGCATCACGATTAGAAAATGAATTTGGAGGTCTAGGAGGACCATTTAAAGAATCAGAACCCTTCAAAATAACAAAACAAAATACATGAAATCTTGGCATAAGTAAACATATATTTAGTAAAGAGTAAAACTAATAATAAATATACCTGTCCACTACAATTTTGTTGTTGCATCTGCATTAGTCCAACCATTAGTTCTCACTGTAAGAGATTATTCATTATTAAAGTTTCCCTATTTCTCCTATCACGTCCTTGGATTCTAATTATAGAGAAAAACTAAAAAACTAGGAGTAGTTAACATTTACTAAAATGTTTTGTTCTATAATCTGTATTGAAATTTTAGGTTCACTGGTTTTTTCTCTTTCAGTTTTGCCTTTTTCTATATATGATAGATTTCTAGAATGATCTGCAAGTCAATGGAAAAGCCCAACACAATAAAGGTACAACACTAGTTTTGAGTTCTCTGATCAACAGCAGCACGATTACTTTGGCAATAATGTATTGTTCTTTGATTGTTGACGGTTCTAAGATGAAATGTTATGTACTATCTGAGTACGAGATAGAGCTGCTAACTGATGCATTTTTTTTCTTTTCTTCTAAGCTTAAGGCTTTTCTGGGAGTAATTATTGCTCATGTATGAATTAATTGTGTTTGATGTGTAGTCGGCTCTATGGATTTATCTATGTCCTTCTAACATAGCCCTGGTGTTTTCAATATAAGAAAATTATAAATCCTACTAAATAGAGGAGCCATTGTTTTAAGCTTAAAATATAGTCATTGAAGTTTGCTCATGACTCTGCAGACCAGTTAACATGTTTCACACACACACACACACACACACATTAGCAGTCAGATTTTGCATCTTGGACTACAAAAATTGAATTGATGAACATGTGAGAAATAGAGGAATGAACAATGATTATTAATATATGTGTGTGTGTGTAAAGATTTATGTTCTGATATAGAGAATCAGAATTTAACTACAAGGAGGAAGTTTCTCCTTACATGAAGGGGCATGGACAAGTGACAAGACTAGCACAAAATCCATGGAGAAACTTCAAACCTACCCACCAATGATCCAAATCCATCCACTGCCCCACTAGTTCTCCCCACAAAAGAAAGAAAAGAAAAGAAAAGGATTTAGATTTTCATGCCAACCAAACAATCATGGGAACATGAACACTTTGAAAGTAAAATGCAAACAAAGGACCCCCATCGATCCTATATGATAATAAAATTTTAAGAAACAAAATTAAAAAAATCCTTTGCTCTTACATCAGAGGGTACCACCCTAAGTCCCCATTTTGGCTCCTATCAATCCCATTTTTAGGTTAATGGCTGATATTCAGTTGTGTCATTTTTTTTCATCAAATAAATAATGACTAGTGATATTTATTTATTTATTTATTTATTTTCAGTATACAGTTGAATGTTCTGTATCTCAGCCGTAGCATTTTATGATCTGTCATGTAAATTTTTCAATGTCTGAGAATTGTGGAGTAGTAGCATGTATTTTCTTATTTTGTCCTGCATCATTTTCAGATAGTTTTGTTTTTTTGTTCTACACTTTTAGAGAATGATATGTAATGAAACACCCAAAATTTATCATTTCTTTCTATAACTAAAGATGCTGAGAAAGTTATATCTACAAGATTCATCATGTTTATTTATGCATTTCCAAATGATGAAATATGTGAGTGCAGTAAGTTACAGTGATTAGAAAATATTCCTTCTTGAAGACTATGTTTCAAATGTGCTGGAAGCATAAAATTGCAACTTTTTTTTTTTTTTTTTCCCAGTAAGCCATAAAATTGTAACTTCATTGCTTCATTATGCATGTGTGTGTGTGAGACACAGAGAGTGATTGAGAGAGAAGTAGTTAATGTCACAATCTGAAGTCAACTAAGAATAGAGAAGTGAAGTATAGATTTTAAAAGTGAATTCATAGGAGCGAACATGAAAATTTCTGTTGGATACTTGAAGTATAGATTTTAAGAATAGAGAGGGGAATTTAAATGAAAATTTTTGAACTGAATATTGGATTTGGTCAATACAGGCTGGGGCTAGAAACCTACTTTCAAAGGTTAATGGCTGCTCAGAATTACTTCCGTCTATTACTTATGGTACAACTTTTTAATGTACTTTTCAGAAAAGGAAAAAAGAAACAGAAAAAACATGTTTCTTGGTTGTATGACTTGTATTTTGGCCTTATAAACCTAGCAAATGTTATCAGTGTATGGCGTAACATGGGGATGACCAGCTCTTTTGTGGACGTTCAGTCAGTATGGTGGTGCATGAAAACATGTATGTGCTATGTATAAACTGCAACACATAAAATTAAAACCCAAAAATTAACATCACAATACTAATATGTTTGTTGTAAATGCATTTTATATGATTATAGATTTCAATCAACAAGAAGCCTCCACATACAATGATCCTATACTCCCATACTTTTCAACAACTATAAGAAAGTAAATTGCCTCCACACGGGCCGATGATAAATAATGAAATTAAAATGCCTCCACACGGGCCGATGATTTAAAAATTGGTCACTTCAAGGCATGTGACCCCCTAATACACCGCAAAGAGTTTAAAAATTGGTCACTTCAAGGCACGTGACCCCCTTTTTGCAAAATGGAAGCATGAAAACTTACAATCATCTCCGAAGCAGTAGCATCAGTAGCATGTGACCCCCTTTTTGTTCACTCACTTTTTCCACTTCACTAACTGTTCGTTTCATTGTCAACTTATTATTTATCCTTCCTAGAAAAGCAAACAAAAAAGTGAGAATTGATTTAAGAGAATGCAATCAAATTGTTAAAAAAAAAGGCAGTGCACAATCCAAGAATCTTTTTAGGTTTGTACAACTTAACCATCTTGAATTTTTTCATCATTTTTATGGATTTTTAACGCCATAAGCTTTAGTGCTTCACCACTTCTGCAAAATTACATGATGGATTTTACTATTTTTACTATTTCTATAGGTGAGTAAAAATAGGTGATCGAGGTGAAATTCACCATCCTGTGAAATTTCACACGGTATGAAACTGAAAAAAAAAATTAATTATAATAATAATTTCTTGGAGAGAATTTTAATTCTTTGATGTATTAATCTTCTAAAAGCCTAAAAAAAACACATATATATAAAAAGAAGCAAAGCTTCTAATATACTCTGTCCGTCCCACAATAGTTGTCCACATTGGGACGGAGATAGTAATAGAGAAGTTAGTTACAGAGTGTGAACAACATGATTCATGTTAGTTATATAAGTAATTATTATTTTTAAAAAACCAAATTTTATATAAGTAATTATTTACTTTCCTTATCTTGTCTTGCAATAGTATTATATTTCTCCCATTTTCTTGTAGGAACTCTTATGCAATTTAACAAAAAAATAAAAAAATAAAAATAATACTCTTATGCAGTTCAGAGGCTGATCAGACTAGTCCTGTGGGCTCTAGAGAATTGTTGGTAAAATGTTGGGAAAGTAAAAGGTTACTTCAGTTGGAGATACTTGTGTTGAGAAAGGAAAGGAAAAGAAAAGGGAAAAGGAAAAGGAAAAAAATAAAATAAAATGATTCCATCTATTTTTTCAACATTTGCTTTAATGTCCTTTCTTGTCATGGGTCCCTTCTCTTTAGGAGAATGTCTTACATAGATATATAGAAAACTGGCATTCTTTTGTTGAGGTGACCCCAATGCATGAAGCCATAAATTGAGCTTGTTAAGTCAAGAATGAATAAGCAAAAGAAGAAAGAAAAAAAGAAAAAGAAAAGGGACACCAACTAATGATATCCTTATTTGAGAAATCATGAAGTGGGTATGTGTCTATGTTGTGTGTGTATGTGTGTTGGGAGAGATGGAAATTAGAAGGTGAATGCCATAAATTTTTAAATCTTTTCATTTCTTCATTTATGTTCAATAAGCACATAAAACACATACAGATTCTAATATTCAATAAGAAATTAGTATATAGTTTATTTCAGCAAGCATAAATATTACTTGAAAAAGATATAAAATGCTGAATCCATGCAATTTTTCATGATGAGAAAAATATCATAGTAAAATATAAATGTTAAAAACGCGCACACATACCACCTGGCATTTTAATGGTGGAAAAATGAATTGTGACAGAAGATGGACACGAAGATTCATCTACACATGATAATGTCATAACGAACCAACAAATGCTCTATTGCAAGGAAAGAACATTTATAGGGAGTAAGTAACAATGTTTGCGCAAGACATTTTTGTTTTGGTTTTTTTGGGTAAGGATACAAGTGATATGAACAATAAAAAAGTATGTACAAGTTCAGGTATATCATTCTTTCCATGAAATTTTTTTACATGAAAAACATTTTCTGATATAAAAACATTTTATACCAAAACCAATGGAGATGAGAGAGAGAATCTGGAAAGCAGTAAACAAATTCAAATTCTCTCTCTACACACACACACACACACACACACACACACACACATATATATATGTATAATATAATCACTAAAAAAGATATACTACTCTTTTATAACATGATATTAATCTAAAAACAAAGCCTTCAGAAATCCTATGAAATGGATAGACCTTACAATAATTTGGTCATGACTGGAAAAGTCCCAATACATTTCACTTCATCCTTCACAACCTCTGTCAAAGTTCAAGTTCAACAAGCATTTCGGAATGAATTTAGTTTTCATAATATTTTAATAAACTAAGAGAAAGTGAAATCCAATGTTAACAGGCAACTATCTAAATTGTCAGGTATAAAGGATAGGAATGGTAAAAAGAACAGATCTCTAATAATACTGATTAATGTTGGAGCTTCCTGAACAACATATATCTAGAATAATTGTCAAAGATTAGAACAATTTAACCAGCTAATGTGTCTGTCATGCCATGGATTGTGATATTGTTGGTAGTACCAAAGGATTCCGTTCCAAATCAGGGCACGATGAGAAGTCAAATTAAACTTTCAGATCAACAGATTCCCCCCCACCCCCCCCCCCCCCCAAAAAAAAAAAAAAAAAAAACGGAGAAAAGTAAAGAAAAATTCAAAGTCCAAAACAAAAAAGTTCAAACAATCAAACATAGGAAGTTAGGAGCACACCTTGTTTAGACTTCAGAAAGCTATAAGGAGGAGGCAAGGAGCTATCCAAGGCTTTCGTGATATCCAGTGGTCGGGGGCAAGGAGTTAGGGCTTTCGCGAAGAGAGTCATATGTTTACTCTGCAGAAATAAAGCTAGGGCTTTGTAACTTTCCTACTAGTGCACGTTGAAAAATATGGTAATTTCATAATTTAAATTAAAAATATATATATACACAGGTAATCAAAATCAGAAGGCGAACAGTTACTAACCTAAAAAAATTCTCGTCCGATCTGTTAGTGTAGACGAGGTTTTGGAAACCCCCAACGACGACTCTTTCTCTCTTTGTGTGTGACTTTGTCTCTCTAAACCAAGCCACCAGTTTTGGAACGCTGACCGGTGATGGAAGGAGAGAGAGCTATGATGACCGGTGATGGAAGGAGAGAGCTGTGATGACCGGTGATGGAAGGGCGAGAGAGCTGTGATGGAAGGAGAGAGAGCGGTTGAAGGTGTTAGGGTTATTGCAAAATTAAATGGGAAAGGGGAATAAAGTGTTAATTGGCTCTCAAAAACGAAGTAGTTTAGGGCCCAAAATCAACGGAGGGAAAAAAATGAAGGGAAGGGAAAAAAAAAAAAAAAGGAGGGAAGGGAAAAAAGGCTAAAGACTCAATACTAGTGCTCCTAAAAAGAGCGCTGGTACAAAAGACCCAATACCAGCGCTCCTTTTAAGAACGCTGCTACTAAAGACCCAATACTAGCGCTCCTACAAAGAGTGCTGGTACTAAAGACCCAATACCAGCGCTTTTAATGAGAGCGCTAGTACTAAAGACCCTATACACCCTATACTAGCGATTTTAAAAAGAGCACTGGTAATAGTGCACCTACACCAGCGTTTTTCAAAAGAACGCTAGTAAAACCCCAATCTGTTGTAGTGTTCCTGTTGACTTTTACTTCTTTTTGAATTTTAATTTTATTTTTTTTAATATATATATATATATATATATATATATATATATATTAAAATTTTCAAATTCCAAAAATATGTTATTTTATTTTCCAAAAATCCAAAAATATTTTTAATTTGGGAATTTGTTTTATTTTATTTTTATTTTATTTTCCAAAAATCCAAAAATATCTGTAATTTATTTTTAATTTTCAAAAATTCAAAAATTTCAAAAATACTTTGTCATTTTGTTCGATCGATCTAAGTTCCTTCCTAATCGATTGGTGTTCGACCAATCTGATCATCCAAGTGATCGATCGAACATGTTGGAGATCGTTTTTTAAAATATAACCCAAGGGTCATTTGGATCGATTTCAACATTGATCCAAAGCCCTCTTTCTTCCTCGCCACTGCCCATCTTCTTCCTCATCTCTGGTGAACCTCCAGCGAGCTTCCAAGCTTCCCAAACTCATTCCCGATCTCATTGCTCTCTCGGTCCACTTCTTTCCTCTCACTTTGGTAAGTTTTTGGGTTCCCACTTTTCATTTTTGAGTTGACCTAGATGTTTTAGATGTTGCCATGTTAGATCTATAAATTCCATGTTTACTTGTTGCCATTTTTGAAGCTTTGAAGCATGTGTATATATATGTATATATTTTGTTCTAATTTTGATTTCGAGGGTCACGTGACGAGTTAAGTGACTATTTTTGACTGATTGAGGTGTATTGGGGCCTACGAGCTTACCCGAGTGCCCCCCGTGTTATCCACGTCACAGATCTGTGACTGTTCGTGTTTTTCTATAGTTTCAATCAATCACAATAGTTCTCTGATCGATCAGAGAACGATCGATCTCAACCAAGTCCTAATCGATCTAACCTAGATTGATCTCATCCTTTCCTTGATCGATTGAACCTCACTATTTTGTATACCCTCATTTGAGTTCCATGCTAACTTATTTTTGCCTAATGCCTGTGTTTTCCACATTGGATGCATTCCGCTCTGTCATATCTAGCATGTTTCACTATATTGGAATAGTCACTGTCTATCCTTCGCTGCATTATAACTTGTATAGATTCATGTAATTTATTCTGAGCTATCTATCCTGACTTGACAAACATGATTCTATCTGTGTGCTTTCAATTCTATATCTCGTATACTGACTTCAATTACAAGTGTTTTTCTATTTTGCAAACCATGGCTCGAGTTAAGACCGTTGCCCATCGGATATATCAGCGTAGAGTACGGCCGCGAGTAGAAGGGCTCGAGGAGCCTGAGGAGCTAGCTCCAGCTCAGTCTGAGTGCTCCTCCTCTTCTGCTTCTGCATCTTCATCTTCTTCATCAGTTGAGGGGTCCGAGCATACACCGCCTCCCTCACCTAGTCCACCACCGGCACTGCCTGGCATGGTCTGTGACCGAGTTCAGTGCACATATTCGCGCCTTACAGTGGCGCATGAGTCCATCTTTGATACTACTTTCTTCTCCAGGTCCATTCTGACCAGGGCAGCCTATGATGATATTTCTCGCCATGGCATTTTAGTTATTCTGGCCCCGGTGGCTAATTCAGTTTACCCATGGCTCATCCGGTTGTTCTACCAGACCTCCTGCCAGCCTTGAGTAACCTGGCGGAGTTGCGGACCACCATTGATAGCTATCTCATCCGCATTACAATCGAGACATTAGCTATATCCTCTCAGTGCCCACACGTCTGCCCTCCCGACCTTGATTATCCTATTCTTAGGTGGCCATCTGATGCAGACATGACCGCAGCTCTGACTGGCCCTGCAAGTGCTGGCGAGACATTTGCCACCCGGACTTACTTGCCAGATGATTTATGGTTCTTTGATTCGGTGTTATACCGAAATGTATTTATGGTGGGCCAAAAGATTTAGTGCTGCTTAGATTTTCTTGCTCCCCTCTATGCCTTCTATACAGGCCATTGGTTTTCTATTCCTGCACTCTACTGGAGTGTCATGATGAGACTGTACATGAGCTACATCAGTAAGGCCAAGCCCAGGTGAGCCACATTCCTCCCTTTCGCACATTTGATTACTCAGATCCTCAGAGACCAGCACTATCTTTTCCATTTAGATGAGCATCCTAAGCCAGGGGCTTGCCACTATGGCAAGAAGGACTAGAATAAGAGCTACAATGCTCTTATTAGGAGTCTAGAGGATGATGCCATCTTGGTAGCTGAGGAGGCAGAGTTAGCAGAGATGGAGGAGGCAGCAGCAGTAGTAGCAGCAGCAGATGATCCAGTAAACCCACCGGCGGCTGCGGATGCACATATGGATATTGACCTGGAGTAGCAGCCTCCAAAAGATTCACCACATCACTCTCTGGCAGGGTCACCATTACATTCACAGGAGCAGAGTCAGGATGAGCCTCAGTTTCCTGATCCAGTCATCCCTGATGCTTTAGCTCAGATACCCAGCCTAGGAGAGCATATCCAGACATTGGAGGATGTGGTTGTCTCTCTCTGAGCAGACGTGACTACTTTCCGTGCGGACGTCCTGACTGCGCTGTAGGGCATTTCCAAAGACATCCGGGGATCACGCCCCGCTAGACCAACCTCCTCTGCTTAATCTCTACCTACCTCTCATTATATTATATATCTGCGATACTTGACTGTTCTTTTGATACTGTTATTATATTTTTGCGGCCAGTCTGTTGGCCCAGATATTGTGTTATACCGTACATTGTTTTTATTCTCTCTACTTTATGTATGCTATTTTTGGATGTCAGGTTATTATATTGATATATTTATTTATGATTGACTCCATTATCAGGTACATCCTAGTGACTTCAGTGAGAGAGTACTGCCCAAAATTTTTCAGGACCATCCTTATTCCTCTCTCCTTAGTTCATTTATTATCCCACTTACACATGCATATCCACTGTGCACTATTATTATCCCCTTTGTTATTTGATGAGCTTTTATCCTAGTGCCATCTTTTTAGGACCACAGTAAATCCTAAGTTTGGGGGGGGGGGGGGGTTGTACCACCCACTTCGGATACTTGTATCCCGGCCGTTCTTTGCCATAGCTGCACTAATATACTCTTTCCTTTTGTTTTCTTTGCACATTGAGGACACTGTGCCATTTAAGTTTGGGGGTAATAGGTGTTTTTTGCTGTATTTGTTTTCAATTCAACATTTTGAGCATGACTTGTGTATTTAAGGGATTTTCTATGATTGGTCCATGGCTAGCAATGATTTTGATCTTTTGAGGACTATATTGCTTAAAATTTAAAAATTGCTTGACTTGAGAGTCCAATACTCCTTGTATGCCTTGTGGATGCCATTTAGGAGTAAATTTTTTGAAAAATTGATATCTTGCTTTCACTTGTGGTCCACATCATCTTGATTTTATGATTGTTTTGAGATTCACTCTAGGATTCTACACTAGCACATGCGCACACTAGCATTCATTTGTAAGGTACATGCTTTGTTGATTATTTATTTGGTTATATCCCAATTGAGCTAGTAGTACATTGAAAGCTTTCATTCTTGATAAAGGTGGATAACAAACCCTTTTTCACTAAGTAGCTAGGATTCTAGCCTCATCAAGCACTGAAATTCTTACGCCGAAAAGTGGAGGGCCTAAACTCTAGGTTAATAATTGAACTTGCCAAAAAAAAAAAAAAAAAGTTGCAAAAGCAATAAAAAAAAGTAAGGATTTCTCCCAAAAGGTGAGAAGTGGGAAATGATTAGATGGAGGCTGTTTTGATTTGTAGCTTAGTTGATTTGAGCTTGTAAGTTCTTAGGGGTGTTTAAACACCTAATGGCCTAAAGCCGTCCAGTTTGGGAGTCATTGACCTAACGCTCAACCTCATGGATCGCTAGAAAGCATAATAGATCAACACATTGCACTATGCTTCCATCTTTGATCCTTAAGATTAGGAAAAAAAAAAAAAAAAAAACCCGAGTGAAAAGAATAAGTGCACCTAAATCAATAAAGCTTTAATAAAAGGTCCACTCTTTGTCTTGATGATCGGTACTAGATTTATGTGTTAGTTTGAGAGTAATGATGTGATCATTTCTCTAGTTAGTTTAGATAGCAATATACTTGATGCCGGTCCACTTAAAAAGGATTCTAGAGTTGTTTTGATTTGCATGATCATTTTCTTGATGTGTAGAGGACCATACTTGCTTGTTTGATGTTAAAATTTTGGGAGATTGCTTGGAAATAGTTGAAAAATTACATACTTGTAGTAGTTTTCTCCCAATGCTTGTTTGCAATATTGGTACCTCTTTTGTGAGAATGAGCTTAATGTTTGTGGGTATCATTTCTGGAACCCTCACGAGACTTCACTTGTCTACTAGGGGTAATCTAAGGGTTTAAAAGGCTTGTTGCACGTGCTAAATACAATCGTGCTCCCTATGAAAGTGACGTTATCCATTTATTGCTTTCTCGATCATAGTTGTATAGTTGTTCATTTCATTCATTTACTTCGTAGTTCATTGTTAGGGACTAGCAATATTTAAGTTTGGGGGTGTGATGAGTGTTGAAAAGTGCGTATTTAAACCCCTTAAGCTTGAGTATTCTAGGACCTTTATCTATCTTATTTTTTTATTTTAGAATAAGTTCATGTTATTACCCTTTGCAGGCACTTATCTCCAAAATATCTATCTTATTTTTTCATTTTAGAATAAGTTCATGTTATTACCCTTTTCAGGCACTTATCTCCAAAATAAGTCAATTCAGCTAAATTAGAGTATAAAAGAAGCAATCTTATGCTAAATGGAAGAAATGAGCAAAGTGGTGGAAAATAGCAAGTTTCGATCGATCAGAAAAATT